TTAACAGCAACCCAGACTAAGGAGCGTGCCCAGCTGCACAAGAAAACTGCGGAAGCAGCGGTGAAAGACGCAGCGGAAGCGCTGGCAACGTCCCAAGAGGAGCTCCGAGAGTCTGGCCTGGAGTTGCAGGAAGTCGTGAGGACCGTTGCTCATTTCAACAGTTTAGGGTTTAGGGTTTAGGGTTTAGGGTCCATAGTGGAAATTATATAAGGGTTATATGGGTGTTATAATGGGCTTATATACTCTATTTCAACTATAGTAGTTTCCATTTTAATTTCCATTATCCCAATATTAATCCAATATCTTATAGTAGTTTCCATTTTAATTTCCATTATCCCACTATTAACCCAATATCTTATAGTAGTTTCCATCTTAATTTCCATTATCCCAATATTAACCCAATATCTTATAGTAGTTTCCATTTTCTTTTCCATTATCCCAATATTAACCCCAATATACTACAGTAGTTTAAAGTTGCTCTTTTTTCAAACAGTTTTCGAGCGAGCACGGTCCGGTATATGTTGTTCGAAGAGTGACCGCCTGCTGACGATTCAGCATGGTGTAGCTCTGGTCCAAACAGAGTTTGGGAAGGACAGGAATGTCTTGAAATGTTGTTGACATCCTGTCACATGGTGCCACCGTAGCCCAGTGCTACTGAAGCTAGACCTCGTCGCAACCTACTGCCAAGGCTGAAGAGTTCTTGAAGGTGAATGCCGACCGCCTGCCTCAGGACAGAATGCCTGTGGCTGGCCAGCCTCTTGTGGTTGCCTGAGGTCAGGTGTGTGATGTTTTTAAAGCCACACAAGTACACCTTGGCAGATTTCTGTGGCATCTCCACGTGCAGGCTTGTACCCGCACACAGCCCAATATTGCAATTATATTACTATTACTATTATTGTTTTTGCTATTACTGTTATTAGTTAGTACTGCTACAAGACAGGAGAAGGCTCAGCCACTCGCCGCGCTGTGCAGTCGCTTCTCTCAGTTTGCCCAGCAGCTGGGTGTGATGCAGGACTGGGCAGGGTTGCAGAGGGGTTATACTTGGGGGGTCAAGGGGACTTAATAAGTATACTTATAACCCCTATAAGCCATATAGTAACCCCAATTATCCCCATTATGAACCTACTTACTAAGTCCACCTGACCCTCCAAGTATGAGCTGTAGTTTAAACTCCTTAAAGGGGTTGTATAGGGATTTAATAGGGGTATTATCGGGCTTATTAAGGGAGATACTAGGAGTTTAGATTCTGGCTCATATAGCGGAGAATGGAAAAGACAATGGAAACTACTGTAGTATATTGGGGTTAATCGTGGGATAATGGAAAAGAACATGGAAACTACTATAAGATATTGGGTTAATATTGGGATAATGGAAATTAAAATGGAAACTACTATAGCATATTGGGTTAATATTGGGATAATGGAAAATAAAATGGAAACTACTATTTCGGGTTTACAGTTTAAAGGAGTTGTTCCACTTCAAAGAGTGTCAGCAAGATGGCTACAGTGCATCACTGTAATAGTGAACGTGCTGGTAATGGTATTCGTAATTGTAAGCGTGCTAGTAGCAGTAGTAGTAGTAGTAGTAGTAGTAGTAGTAATGGTAACGGTAGCACGAGCAAGAGTAGGATCCAGAGTAGGATCCAGACCAAGAGAAAGCGTAAGAGTACGAGGATCTGCACGGAGTCATACGAGCATTGCCAGGACGAGGCTCCAAAGGCCAAGCCCGTGCAGGAGCATGTGTACACCCAGGTGCCGCAGACATTCGGCGACAGCATTTCTTCGCTAGTGCATGAGTGTACAATTAGCCTTACCATGAGACGTGCTCACTGCTAGGGGCTGGCGCCAACGCAGCCGAAGCCCATTTCTGGAGGCACCCCCCGCGCCCCTGACGGTTTCGCATGTGTGCTTGGATCTCTGGAGTTCCAAGCTTCAAACTACGGAGGCGAGTGATGGACTAGTGCCGAGGAACCTTCCCATTTTCTCGACAAATCCAGCCTCTCTGATTTTGCATGCTTCAGGTTTTCAGCAGCGTGTCATGATTGTGGAAGAGGACTCAGCGAGCACTGCGTATTGGCATGCCAGACCAAGAACTGAAACTTCTACGTTCAGGGTGTAGTGTCTAAGCAGCACAGCAACCCGTGGCATCACCTAGCCCTCGGAGGAGCACAAGCCGGACCAGGAAGAGCAGCCAATGGATTTGTCCCATCCCTAAACGTGTACATGTCAGATCACATGCGCAGATGGGTCTGGTCTCACCAATCAAGGGGTTCAACTGACATCTGCTGTCTTGCTAGTCTTAGAGGTGCTGGCAGATCCGAAGCTTAAACGCTGCTCGTGGCCTCAGGTTTGGAGAGGAAGATCATGATCTCCAGTCCTTCAGCGGCCCCTTCTGCCCTTTCTTTGAGAGTGGCAGCTGTCAGGAGAGCTGGGAGATGCCAAAAAGTGGTACAGAAGCTTTCGAAAATCTAGGCGGTTGAGGCTCAACGAGTTTCAATGTGAAAAATCTCGTTGATTCTGATGTACCTCCGGTCTCAATGAATTTCACTAGAACGGGGCTGACACAACACATCTGTTTTGCTTTGTAATCAGGGAGGCAAGCCCGAGAAAAGGTGGGAAGAGGCCCCACTCGCCTTTCTGTTACAAGATTGATGTGACTGTCTTGCAAGACTTGGAGGATGGTGACGAGTGCCAGTTCTCGCATGAGCGGCCAGCTGGTTTGGAAGCCAGTGCTCTGCCCAGCCGGCGATGCCCATGCCTTGCAATAATATCAGTATGAATATTGGTATCTGTATTAATACTAAGATTACTAATACTAATAGTAGTATTGATATTAATATTGATATTAATATTAGTACTAATATGAGCGTGGTGACCGTAGATCTGCTGTCAGTTGCTGTCCATGAAATCGCACCTCGTGTTGTCCGGCTGGGCCTTGTAGGAAGAAGCTATGTTTCTGGACTGATTTCACACCTTGCTTATGCCTGAGAGTGGCATGAGAGTCTTTGAGGTCCGGAAGCCGCCGCGGAGAAGAAGCAAGAGGAGTTGGCTGCATACAAGAACCGGCTCCTATCAGAGGCTGATACATTGTCTTTCAATGATCCCTAAAGGCCGTGATGTTCGGGAACACGAAATCTTTCTCGTCATAGTTATGTCAACTGCTGCAGATGCAGATGGTGGGCGCCTGGACAGCCAAGCCAAACAAGGAACAGGAGATTGAGTAACGTGGTGACCTGACAGGCAAGCTACCTGCAGGCTGTCTTTGGCGGCAAGAAGGAGGAAGCCTGATGCGGCTCCTAGGAACGCACATGCCGCAGCGAGCCTGCCACACATGCTGCCAAGCTCTCTGAGGCAACAAAACTCAACCCTTGCAACGGGTTGTTTTGTGGATAATGGGAAAGAACATGGAAGCTACTATAGTATCTACACATCTAAGACATTGCTGAAGCCTCTCTTGACTCTCAGAGCAGCAGCCCGCCTGCTTTAACTGCTGCAGCCACGTTGCGCGAGCTCTCTGTCATGCCAAAGCTAGCCAACTTTCTGACACAGTAAACATTGGCCTGTACCAATATGACTGTCGGATTGGTTGATCTTGTGCTGGAAACACTTTCATCTGTCACATTCGTCGTGACTCTGACTGTGACTCGTGCGTGTGCTGCGTGGTACTTATCTACTGTTGGGTAGCTGCGGTCTGCAGAATTTTGCTCCTGTGAGCCTGAGCGACAGCGATGCTTTCTGCAACCGCCGCGGGCGGGCACCCGGAAGTTCTGAGCTGGGTTAGACCTTGCCACCAAAAGTAGCAGCTTCCTTAGCATGAGCCGCCTGCCTTGCGAAGGCGACCTCTACTACTTAGCAGGACCACGAAAACTGTCAAAAGAGACTGTGCTGCTCGTGCTGGCAGTTGACATGCCTGAGTTGTTATGATTAGAGAGGGGAAGTTACGCAGCACAGTTCCTGGAAGTGCTCCCCACTCCTGCCCCCGCGCCTCGCAGATTTTCGACTACCTCCAGCTGCCGAGGGACGGAGCAGCGATTGGATACGAGGATTCAGGGGGTGCATGCTGCAGGCTGCAAGCAACCCTATAATAGTAGTTTCCATTTTCTTTTCCATTATCCCTATATAACTCTAACATATAACATATTATCCCTATGTTACCCTGTATTATCACCCTAAACCCTAAATAGTTGTTTCCATTTTTCCATTATCCCAATATAAATCCAATTGGTCCATGGTTGTGGCCAGGACTTCCTGAGGCTCGCCTCCTCAAAGAACGGCTTGATCTACCCAGTCGCTGGGTTGCTGTTAAGGAACTTAAATTAAGTTGCCATAATGGGTACACATAGTAAACAATAGGGTTTCCCCAATATGGTAACTTAATTTAAGTTCCTTAACAGCAATCCAGGTCGAGGAAGAGCGCCGTACTTTGGGTCAGGCGGGCCAAGCTTTGCCAAGCCATGACCCTGTGTGGGTCTGTGCTTGTTGGTTGGTTGTTATACACATCTTGTGATAGCCTGTTGCAGGACAAATCCATCGACAAGTACTTGAAAGAGTGAGCATGGCTCTGGACTTGCTGTTTCAGATGGCCGTCGCGAGATCATATTATCCGTTTCTGCCACATGTCCGCAACTATTCCTTTATTCCACTTATTCTCAGCAACATTCGTACAATGGACTGGACCTCATCCGACACCTCAGGATCTGAAACTGCTGTCTGGGCCTCGCATTTCCTGTCTCCAGATGTTGGCTGTGCCAGCGACCCTAGACCATGGTCACTGCGATCAGGGTACATGGTAGTTTCCTTAAATAGGGGGACCCCTATACTAGGACCCAAAACATTACAATCCTTATGATTGGGATCCCAAAATGGTACCCCTAATTTTGAGAAATCTCTAAACCCTATATCTCCCTATATATACCTATAAGCCCCTTTAAAGGTATCCCTACTTTTGGGGAAACTCCTCACAGTACGTAGCGGTCCAGAACGGTGAGGGCTGGCCAGGGATGGTCAGTTTGGAAGCTGCGCGTTTGCGCAGATGCAGCAAATCTCAAATTATTCCCTCCTATATTATAAACTGTCTAAACTCCTGAAAAGGGGGGAGAATCTCGAGGAGTGCTGTATGGCTTATTAAGGGGGATACTAGGAGTTAGACTATAGCTTATATCTGGCGTTTTTTTAGGGGTCGTATAGGGATAGCTACGGATGTATAAGGATGGGCTTAAGGTATCGCTGGCGTACCATCCTCTAAATCACGGCAAGATGCTTCCGGTTTGATAGTAGTCTGGTTTTGTCAGAGCTTGTCTCTATGAATGCTTCAAGGTAGCCAGATGTACAGTAGCCAGTATCTTGTACAGGTGATGGAGTTTGTATGGACTTCTGATCAAGGACTGTGCTCCTACTAATTCTGCAGGGGCCTGCTTGTGTTCACCAGGATCTCTGGCTACCACCACTCGCAAATGGAGTTCTTGAACCTGAAAGCAAAGGCTGTGACAGTTTGTGAGAAGGACGCACGTGCAGATCTGCGGTGATCGTGCAAAGACTGGGTGTCAATGGCAGCAGCTGAACAGGTTTGTTCAGATTGGTTAGTATCACGGCTCGTGCCAAGAAAGGTCGGCAAACTCTGCAATCAATCAAAAGCCTTTGAAGTGCTGGACACGTCAGCCACCATCTTGGTACTACAACTATGATTTGGTGACGATTTACATCTGCAACGCTTTTGTCGGGTTAAGCATATGCTGTAGATTGCAGGCCTGAGAACTCAGTGTCAACAATTGTCATCACTTTACCCTTCCCAACGCCAAGGTGCATGTAGCAAGACAGCATTTTTTGACCATCAATTTGCCAGACCTTTGTTTCCTTGGCAGCTGCCCTGGGCCCAGCGCAAACTGGGCACCCGGCGCCTCTGGTCCTGCTTTCGAGGTCTTGTCGTGTTTATGTGTTTCGGTGTCTTAATCATGATGTCATATAAGCATTCTGCTGTTTTGGAGTTAGCAATGAAGTTTCCTGAAGTGTGGTGTAAAGCTGCAAAACAAAGCCTCGGGCAGGGTCGGTGGCTGTTTTCAGTCCTTTAGGCTCTGGCCTTTTCGGTGTCATGAAGGGTTGGGCTGTGTCCTACTGTTCCATAGTGGACGTTGCCCTTGCTGCGCCAGCTCACAGATCACCTGTGGCAGTTGCAGATGCTTGTTTGCAAAACCAGCTCCATTGTGTCGCATGCTGCCTGTCGAAAAAGCCAATTTCTAGGGCCGGAAAACGTGTCCACAACCTGAAATCTTGATTTCCTCGTTTGTGCCACACTGTATAAAGTAGTTCGTATACAATGGAGTGTGACCACGCGCGCCCGGTGGGAAGTCTGTACAAAGCCGCATGTTGAAGTTTTCACTCCAGCAGGGCTAGGCCAATGATGGCGATCAAAGGACCTTATAGGGTTTAGGGGTTGTATTGGGGTTGTAGGGGTTATATAGGGGTTACGTAGGGATAATGGGTTACTACATTATCTCCCTATGGTGCAGAGTCAAATGGAAACGAAAATAGAAAATGAAATGGACACTGGGGTAATATAGGGATTTAAGGAACTTGATTTAAGTTACTAGTTTGGGGAACCCTTAAGCACCAGAGCGCTCTGCAGCGCCATCTAGCCTTCTTGCTTTTCAATTTGTGGCTGTTCTTGGAAGGTGTGCTTCGCATTCCGCCTCAAGACTGCCAGTCTCACAGACCACAAGAGTTCAGCCTGCATCCTCGAAAATGTGCCAGAACGGGCAATGCTGGAGCGTTGGCCTTCGTACCTGCCTGCATGAGTGAGCCGGCCTTTTAATCCCCTCCCCCTAATATTAGACCCCCCCACCCCCCTAATGTTCAATACTCCCAATATATTACATCATGCCACATAGCGGGAGTATTCAATATTAGGGGGTGTTAAGAGGGTTTGATTTGTTTGGGGGGACCCTAAACCCTAAACAGGGGTGGGGGGGTGTATTAGGCTAGGGGCAGCGGATTACTCATGAGGAGGGTCCTGAGGTCTTCCAGTCTGACAGAGCCTCGACATGCTTGAGCGTGATACTATAATATAGTAGATTCTACTATATCATGGTATATTATACTATATCTGGTATATTGTTATATCATATTCTAGTATATTATACTACAATATAGTAGAGTCTACTATATTATGGTATATTCTTATGTTATAGTATATTATACTATAATATAGTATATTATACTATCTTATAGGAAAACAAAATAGCAAGGTGCATCATGTCTTGAAGCTTGCTGGTGCTCAGAAGCCCCATTATTTCTTAAACAAATGCAAGCTTCTCCAGGGTTCTGACCTTGAGTGGAACTGCATTCACGACTGCAGATCTCTAAGATCCCAATTCGGGAAATCAGGTGAGAAGCTTGACGCGATGTCTGGCTGCACCTGTTTCTTCCCTCCACCGCGAAAATGCTGGCCTTGAAGGGTTAGCTCTAATCTGTGTCCCCACCCAAAGCAGCCTGCGATGGGGGAAGGGGGATAGTGGAAAAGAAAATAAAACCCTAGGTCCCTTTAAAGGGATATATAGGATATATATAGGGGTTACATAGATCATGGAAAATAAAATGGAAACTACTGTATCATAGTAACCCTATAAACCCTATAAACCCTATAAACCCTAAAGCCCCAATAAACCCTAATAAACCCTATTAGTATAGGGATGTCGTGGCCCAGCGCAGGCTATGCCAAGCCAACGCAGGCTTC